ATATATATGCTTATGTGTATGCATGTGTCTGTAATATATACATATATACTATACTTGTATATACATTTGTAAAAATATAAACAAAAACAACACCCCCAACAAAAAAATAGAATAAAAACAAACAAACTGAACCCAAGACAAAAGCCTCAAAACAATTGCAATTCTTTTAAAATCCAGACCAATATAAGGCATTGAAAATAAACAACTTTTGTTTCAAAACAGATGGGAAATTACTTGCGTTCTTTTAATCAGTATTCATCACTTTTTCTTCAAATTGGTAAAAAGAAACAACAACAAGAAGAAACAATCCCGCCAAGTCCCCACATTACGTGTAACAAGCAACAAGCAAACCTTTAATTAAAACATCAGGTACTTACTGTAATCATGCCAAGAGTAAACCGAGCTGTCAGTGAGCACAAGAACCTCTGCACTCTGGGAAGAAAAAACAACAGTGAAAATGGTTAAATCTGGGACTGGCTTCGAGGTTTATAAATGGTTAACTTCTTCACCATGGATACAAGAGACATAAGTTGGATTCTCATGTGAAGAAGACTTTATCGAGTACCCCTGTCAGTACATAAGTAGGATTGTCCCGTACAGCGAGGGGTGATCCTGACAGATAGGCTGGGTCGGAGTAGCCCGCCTTCTAAATGATCTAATAGTGTTGATGGGGTGGGGTGGGGTGGGGAGGGGTGGGGTGGAAAAGCATTCACAATTTGCTATACAAATCTTGTGAAAACAAACCAGGAACAAAAACCCATCCAAGCACAATTTAGGACTTTAACAGGGGCTGTGGTTATGTGTGGCTTCTTTCAGCGGCGCAGTTTAAAACCCTCCTGAACACAATACAAGTCTTTTCTGTTGTGAGGTTCATGATTCCCCGTCAAAAGATCAGAATGACATAAATAATGCACCACACAACTGTTGCCACCACAACTTTAGGCTGATTTTTTTTTCGATAAGTGCTTTACGGCGCTCGCAACTGCATAACGCCGTATGAGCGCGCGGGACACATTAAACAGTTTAGTAGAAATATTGAATTTTGCCCGGGTGGCGGCCGAAGTCTATTCTTATCGATTTTAGGACCACCAAGGGGTATTTAACGTGCGCAGCTTGCACACGGGACCTTCGAGATTTTTTGCGCCCTTATCCATGAAGGCTAGATGTTAGATTTTTACCTACCATAAGATCAGGGGAGTGGCTGAAAGACAGCTGTAGCAAAGGCTGCAGAAAAGAATCAGGAGCTCAAAGGAGGAGACAAAGGGGAAAGGGAGAAAGGCTGCATAAAGAGTCAGAAGCCCAGTGGAGGGGGAAAGGGAGGGGGGGGGGGGGGAGAGAAAGTGGAAACGAAAGCAGACGACATCATGGTTGAAGAGCGGGAAAGGAGGTGAAAGGAGAGAATTTGGAGAAGAAAAATTTCCGTCGCTGCCAGTTTTTGAACCCGTGACCTATTGAGTTAGAGGCGAACACCGTAACCTCTAGACTACGAGAGCCCCTAACTCAATGCATGTACACGTGAAAAAGCGATCAACTTTAGTTTTAGAAAAAAGTTTCACAGTACTTAATTGCAACACAATTAGGTCAAGTAAGTACGTAAGCACCGAAGATTAGAGGTGTTACTAGAGAGTAGTATACAAAGAAAAGAAAGAGAGATAATGACGATAAATGTTTGATTGGAAAGAAGGACCAAACCATATCACCCGCCGCTATCAACACTTTCAAACAAAACGACGCGTTGTAACAAAGGAACAAGCTCTTCGAGCCGTTTATTTGGTTCCGTGTTTCAGGGGATTGTCACTAAAGTGGAGTTTTAAAGGTACCGATTTCGTTAACCCCAAGATCAAATCTAAGTCCTGTACTAGATTTTCTACGTGTTTTCACCCATATTGTGATTCTCTGTCCAATAACGAATAGTTTGATAGCTCACACAAACCTGTCGATCAACATTTGACTTAATTATAGCTGATTTAAGCTCATAGCCTCTAATTGGGTGCGTCAAATTGTGGACTCCCCTGAGCACTAAAAGTAGTAAAAGGGGTATATCAACGTAACAATGTGAACAACAATAACACAAAAAATGTATCAACAATAGCAACAATACCAACAATGCCTACGTATCATATCAACAATAACAAGAATACATGTAGCAACAATAAAATAATACATGTATTAACAATTACAAGAAAACAGGTAGCAATAATAATAACAATACATATATCAACAATAAAAGCAACAATATCTAGTTTTTAGGCCAGTCAACAACAATTCCAATAATAACATATTAATGAAAACTGAATTTTTTCGCAACCGCGTTTTGCCCATTCCGATTTTCGCGAACGTTTTGAATTTACGATTTGAATTGTCCTGAGTCTTGTAGGTAGTTGGATTCCAATGCAGTTTGTTTGTTTTAGTAAGTGTTTTACGGCACTTGCAACACAATAGGTCATATAAGTGCCGAAGATTAGAGATGTTACAAGAGAGTAACAAACACAAAAAAGAAGGAGGGGAGATAGAGACGGCAGATTTTTAATAGGAAAGAAGGAGCAAACCACACCAGAGCACCCGCCAACCACCTACGTTCCAATTCAGTAGAGCCCCTAGTAACGTTTCGCGATCGATTTGAATTCGTGGATTTCTTTCAAAACCACGATTATTGCGAATTCAAGTTGATCTAGAGGCCGAACCCCTCCACCCCCCTCAAACCAGAACCCGGTTTACAACTATTAACTAGGACAAAGATAGTGAAAGCAGCTACAACAGTAAACAACATATATGCGGGTAACCGAAGAAGAGCAATATAAGAAACAAACAAACATTTCAACAATGTACAGGACCAACAAGAACAACTAGAACTGCAATACAAACAGTCGCGGCAAAATGCAACTGTTTGGGCTACCGAAGAAAGGTAATAAAGATAACAGAAAGAACAGTGGCTCAAAAAAGGGAAAAAAAAACCCCTCCCCCAA